CCGTATGGCGCAAAATGCAATATTACGCGAGGAAAAAAGCCGAAAGATATCTATTCCGAGTGGTTCTATCAGGAAGAAGCAAAAAAGTCCAGGAAATACGTTCAGAGTCTGGACAATTTTATGATATGCATTGAGAAAAAGATATATCTGAAAACTTATTTATGGTATATGAAGTTTGTTCACAGAAAAATAGACTATATTTCACATAAATGAACTCCAACAAATAAATTGTCAAGTATTTTATATCTCAATGTGAAATCTGGCGCGTTGGGAAAAAAATATTTGACGATTTATTTTTGTGAGATAAAACGTTTTTTTCTGTGAAATGAAATTTTTTTCTATGAAAAAGATTTTCTCACCTTCTGTAAATCAATTTTTAAATATGTTTTTCTCAGTATGAGCACCGCTAAAGTCGATTGAAGTCGATCAAAAAGACTATTAAATTTTTCCTTTCTGTCTTTTTTTTCTTTTCAAGACTCTAAGCTTCTCCGAACACTCCACGTGGGAGACGCCGGGAATGGATACGCGCGCGATAGGTGCCTGCTGCAGCAGGAGGAGCGCGTGTGGAGGATTTAGAAAACACCAGCGTGGCCGATCGTGCGGCCCGATACATCCAAATTTAGGTCCACGACTTCCTCTATCTCTCCTCTCGAACGAACGGCCGACCAAAGTTCGTTTTCCAACGCGGAATGCCGCGTGCCGCCCACGTGATTTAAACCCCGTTAACTCGCCCGGCGAGTTTTATTAACCCTCCGCCGCCGAGGTGTACAAATGAGATATGTTTCAAACATTGCCTACGCGCTTGTTCCTCTCCTTCTCTTGCTTTCGCGTGAGCATCCTCTTATCGGGCGTTAGAAGGATTCATTAAGCGAAGTGTGTCCACGAAGCGAAACGGTCAAGATTTGTAAGGAGTCCATCTTATGCTGCAATTCTAAGCAAAATAAGTCTCGTAATTTGTTCTCGTAAAATTCGTCAGAACTTATGAGTAGATTAACAAGTCTGTGCAATATCAAATGTCGTACAATCACTTGTAAATATCGTAAATTACATGAAATCGTAGATATTTACGAGTAATTGTACGACATATGACATTGCATAAACTTGTAAATTTACTAATAAGTTCTGACGAATTTTACGAGAACAAGTTAATTTTACGATTCTGCTTAAAATTACAGCATTAAATGCCAGACACACGAAACGATCGTCAAAAATTAAGAAATGTTAAAAAATTAAAAAATGTTAAAAATGTTAAAAAATTTGGTTAAAAATGTTAAAAAATTACTATTTTTAATCAATTGTACTATAATTTCAATGATAATAATCTTATATATATGTTACTATTACTATCTTCACGTTGGAACAACAACAAAATATAGTTGGGATCAAATTGGGCGTAAACTATATTTTTTAGTTGTTCCAACATGAAAATAGTAACATTAACATATATATATAAGATTATTATGACTGCAATTATAGTACAATTGGTTAAAAATTATTGCCTTGATCATAATTTGTAGTAATTATTTCTCTATATGATTATAAGTGACAAATACCAAACATTTTTCTCTCAGTGTAACTTGAGCCGAATTCTGATAGCTTCGTAATCGGAATTCCCGGTTCGTTCATATTTCACCAGAAATTTCGTTGATCCAACCAGACTTTTTTCCTGTGTTCTTTCGCCGCGCGGATAGAAGATGCGATATCGGTCATTCAACGTAAGGATAAAAGAGATGGGATAGTGCGAGGACGGCTCGGTGAGCGGAACTAAACGAGAACGGTACATCCTGTAATCCATCGCGGAAAAAATTTTCGTCCGCTACGATGCGCGAACTGTCTCTCTTTCTTGCTCTCTTTCTCGACATCTCGACGATAACCGCAGGAGAAGAAACCGAGTACCGAACCGAGAACAACCTGTGATTCCCGATAATCGAGTAATAAATTTTCTCCAGTCGCGCATTTCTTTTTCGCGATAATTTTCTGTGGGTGGCGAATAAATAAAAACACAGAAATACGGGTGAGATTTCCTTAAACAACGCCCATTGGGTCGGTACACATCAAAGCACCGTGAAAGCAGAACAAAATGCTCCACTCAAGACTCCAACGAAGCTTCGCAACTGCCAGCAAGTTTCCCTGCGAACTGGCACGGCGAATGGAAGCGAGCGCGAAGTCGCGCGGTCTCTTGTGCGTAATAAACGTAAGAAAAAGAAAAAAGAAAAATTCTCGGCGTTTCAGCAACCCGCGTGGATTCGCGAGCGGAACTCGCACGTTCAGAGTCGCAAGGTGAGTCGTAACAAGTCCGGCGCGAGTCTCAAGGTTTCCCCCGGCTAAAGCGGAAGTTGGCACACACAGTGGAATGAGGTAAGACGTGAGGAAAATGTTGTCGTCCCCCTGTCGCCCCTTTTACCACGGTCTCCGTTCTCCCCGAACGACACACTCGCTGTTATACCCGTTGAAAATTTATTTTCTCATTAACTGAGCCGCGCAGAACGAAATCGTCGCACACATCTCCCGGTATATCTCTCCCGAGTCACCCCCAAATCGCCAGTCATAATGTGGACGGTTATAAAAAAGCCGACCGCTGCTCTATGCGCAGCCATTCGCGGCAATCCGATCGCGATCGAACGCGAACGGTACATTCTGCCGCGTTCTCTCCTACTCCGTTTCTCAGTCTCTCTTTCTCTCTCTCTCTCTCTCTCTCGAAAAAGGAAAAAAAATACTCGCGCCCGTTCCATATACCATGAACGGGATGATAATGTCCGACCACAATGATCGGCCGACAGAGAATACCCGCGAGCAATGACGATAATAATTTGATGATGATAATATAATACGACCTATAATAATGATACGATATGGCATGTAACAATATGATAATGATATAACAATATGGTGGATAATAATGATATAAATGATAATATATGACAATGTAATCCAATGTATGACGACAAAATGCCAATAATAATAATAATTTGATGACATTGTTATTATGTACTGATTGTGTGCTTTAAATTTTAATTTAATATTCGTGTTGTTAGAAAATATCTAAGAAATAATAAATATTTATCTAGTATGTACTAATAATATATATTTACTTGTATTAATAAAAAATATTCTTCAAAATGTACATTTTCTTGAAACCTTAAGTTTCTCGTGAAAGTAACACTGTTTATGTTCTATTTAAATAAAAAATAAGTTAGATGTAAGTAAATATAATTATTATTACCCACCAAAGAAATATTTATTATTTTTTAAATATCTTCTCTCAATGTAGTAAGTAATTCCCGGACACGTACCTAATCCTAAACAATTTTATCGTTTTGGTGTGTAAATACAAATATTTGAACTTTCAAAATATAGAATATATATGTATATTTTTGATATATTGAAAGCACTTAAATATTCGTAGTTAAAGATCAAAGCAATAAGAATGTCCAGGATTAGGTACAAGTATCAGAATTTTTACCTGAAAAGGATTATCGAACGTTCCATGAATCTTTCTCGGAGCCTTTTTTTACCAACATCGCTTAAACCTTAATATGATTCAGATAATCTCTCACGATGATCACGTAAGAAAATCGATGATAGAAACTTTGCAATTATTTCAGTTACATTTATATAAAGTAAAAATATATTATTCAATAAATTATTAAATTTACATCACATAATAATGTAAATCTTTTGTCGTATTAATGCAACAGTAAATTTACTCAAAGTTACACTCAGATTTTTATGTTACATTTAACATGACACAGTTTCAGGCAAATTTTGATAATTTTTTTCGTATTTTTATTCCGTTCTATGCTATGATAAATATGAATGCAATCTGATCAAAATAAAGATCGACTAAACATTTAATAATTTGATATATTGAAAGTTGCTGTAAAGTTTGCATCTGTCAGGCGAGTTTAAACTCTCCTCGGACACAAAGACTCGAACTCAGATTAAGGTTCAACAGACATCGGTGAAGACGTGAAATTTCGCTAGATAATTCTGTCATCGACGCGTTCTTCTGGGACACCTTATATAGAAGCGACTGACGCGGACGTCACGAACAGAAGACAGATCCCGAGTCATTCTCGAGACAGCAGAGAGATGTGCATGCGGATGGGGTCGAACGGGACATCCGTTCCATTGCGTGATTTCCCAGCCTCTCTCTTCTCTTCTCTTTCTCTCTCTTTAAACCAGCGATACCTAAACGCGCCAAAAAGCACGCCGTTATTCGCTCAGGGTTAACACATGAATCCTACGAAGACCGATGGCCTCGTTCGCGCTGCGACGTGGATATCTCGGAGAGAGAAAGACGGACGTAAAAGATTCACATTCAATCTGCCGACGAATTAACGTAATCGTCAATTCATCGTCCGATCGGGTCAACTCGCAACGACGGCGGCAACAACGACGCACACTAACGACTCGATGCGCACACAACGTGTGAGGAACATTATCAGCGTGACCGCTGACCGCCGTGAAGGCGTGTGACAAGATAAAGAAAAAAAAAAAGCTAAACCGAGATCTAAACTGACTGAAACAGGTCAGACTGAGCCGAAGGCGGCATTCTTGACTCTGCATCGCTGTTCGTTCGTTCATGTCGCGGCGCAACAAGTGTAGGCGGCTGGACCCGCTCTGCTCCCAACGGGGTTCCGCACGTTACGCACGCTTGTGCTGCAGACAGATGCACAGACAGACGGACAAGGTCCGTCGCTGGACACAACGCGAAGGTCGTAGCCTGGGCCGAGCCCTACTCAATGGAGCCGAACGGGAACGGTATCCATCTCATGCGATGGACCGCTCCTCTCGCTCGCTAACGGAGAGAAAGAGAGAAAGAGAAAGAAAGGAAGAGGTGGAGAGAGAAGAAAAGAGAAGCGCTCCTCTTCACGGAGGAGTCTACGACGCAATGCCTCGGGTCGTCGAGCGGACCCGAGAGTCCGTCGACCACGGCGAGAAACGACGCGATAATATCGGCCACGCTTCGCGTGCAATGTACGTGTGCACGTACGAACCTTGTCGAGGCACTTGAGCTCCTCGATCGGGTACACCGTCTTCTCGCAGCGGGCGCACGTTTTGCTCATCTTCCTTTCCGCTCGGCTACGTCCCGTGTAGTCACTATATTCCCGTCTCGCGCGCGCTTCACTATACCACCACTCTCACGCGCGGCTGCTGCTGTTGCTCTCTGCTGCGCGAATATATCCTCGAATCCTCGCTCCGCGATCCCGAGAGACACTGGGCGGTACGCGCGCGCTCGTGCGTATGCGTGGTGTCTGCGTGTGTAATGCGGGGGACGCGCGACGACTCGACTCGGTATTGCACGTGCGTGATGTGTGTACGATGCACTAACGACACGTCCAAACCGGCTGCCGCTCTGGATAACCGCCCGGAACGGCGACGTCTGCGTGGAGCGTCTGTTGCTCTTGCAGCCGCGGAAACACGAATGGCGAGTGAAGGGCGAGCGTATTTTCCTGAGACTGTCGCTGGCGGCGGTGGCAGCGGCGGCGACTACTCGCGTCGTAGCCGTTTGCGTTCTCCCTTCTTTTTTTCTAGTTCTCTTTCTTACTATCTTTATCTCTCCTTCTCTCTCTCTCTCTCTCTCCCCGTTAATTCGTCGCGGAGCACGACGAAAAACCGACAAGTTGTCGCACAACCGGCATCAAATCACACTAACCTTCCGTCTCCACGCCTAACTACAAAAAGCTGTCGAGTGACAGCGATACTGCCACCGCGCTGGTTCATGCGATATTTCGTCGTGCGACTACGATGACGTATGGAAAAGAAGAGAATCGTATAGTGTATAAGCCGACGGAATTCCAGCGGAGAACGCAATGCCATCTTATTGGCTGCAAGTCATCTCGAGGTGATATGATAGCCAATAAAACGACTCGCTAAAGAACGCTCCCTAAAGATCGTTCTACATTAGTTGTAAGTCGATTGCAACTCTTGTTGCGACAGCCAATCAGAAGCGTCAATAGCACCATTGATGCTTCTGATTTGCTGTCGCAATAAGAATTATGTCTGTTTGCGATCAGCTTGCAACTAAGGGCCCTTGCAGAATGCCAGGCAACAGGCAATAGGAACAAGGAATAGAAATAATTGACCAATCAGAATTTCTATTCTCTGTTCCTATTGCCTATTGCCTGGCATTCTGCAAGGGCTCTAATGTAGAACGATCTTAAGGCCTATGTCACATATAACATAGGCCGGTATTCATAGTCATAGATCTTATATTTAAGATCATCTTAAGACAGGGGAGCGTCCCGATTGACCACGGTAAGATTGGACACAACCAACCGATGAAAAGAATTATCTAGTGAATTACTAGGTCGAACCAATCATTACAATCTGTGTCCAATCGTATCGTGGTCAATCGGATCCCACTCTTAAGACAATACTTAAGATAATATTAAATATAAGATCGGACTATGAATACCGGCCTATGAATACCGACTATAAATATAAGATCCAACTACGAATATTGACCTATGATTGGTCTATTTTAAAGAATTATTTTTTAAAGAAAAAAAGGGTTTGGATTTGAATCCAAAGCGATTGATGATGTTATGGTTTGACTATTTGGTTGTCTATTGGCTTGCAAATTGTTTAATTATTTATTTTTATAGACTCTTTCAACCGCTTGATGTATTTATTTGCCACTATGCGTTCGCTTTGGGTGCTTACGCGCTGTAAAGCCCTATGCACAATGCCAGGCAACAGACAATAGAAATAGGGAATAGGAATTCGAATTGATCAGTTATTTCTATTCCTTGTTCCTATTGGCTAATGCCTATTCCTATTGCCTATTGCGTGACATTGTGCATAGGGCTTAAGTTATTCTATCTTTATTGCTCATTATATGCGGGAAGAAGACAGAATGATGCTTACAGCGCATAAGCGCCCAAAACGAACGCAGCCTATGTATAATGTGCGAAACAAGGATAATGACCTCCAAGAAGATTCTAATTGGACATAACCGATGCAAAGATTTACCTGGTAAATTTTTAGATCTAACCAATCATTACACTCTATGTCCAATAGGGTGCTAGCCACGATCCCCTCACATCTGTCATACTATGGCTGCGTTCGGAAACGTCACTCGAGTACTCTCCCTCTCTTTTTATCTCACTCTTGTATTTCGCTCACTCCAACGGCTATCGTCTAGTAGTGTGCACACAGTGTGTGTTTCCGAACGCAGCATATAAGTTTCCACCGAGGATTCGGATCAGGTCAGAGTCAGGTTGAGGTGAGCGTTCTTAAGTTGGCCACACACACTTTTCGTAACAGTAATGCAGGATTCACACCGCGTCAATATCCGACGTACGACGTCCGATAATAGGAGAACAGCTTTCTAATAGAGGAATCAATTCTCCGTTAGAAAGCTATTCTTTTATTGGATATCGGACGTTGTACGTCGGACATCGGACGCGGTGTGAATCCTGCATAAGACGTAATGTAAGAATTGACCAATTACGATCGAGTATTCATAAACATAGCGACCTTACGTTTCGACGATTCTCAACATTTCGGAATGCAGCCCTATGAGCATGTTCTCTCTTATCCCGCAACACACAAAGAGGTAGCGCGCGTTCCAGGCAATATATATTTTAGTAGTCGTAATCCGTTAACTTATGCCGGAACCATAAAAATTGACGAATTAGTCGAATTATAGAAGAATAATCGACTGTGATTGGTCAATTTTTTACGGTTCCGACATAAGTTAACGGATTACGGCCATCATAAACCATTCTTTATAGTATGTTTGACTGGCTCTAAGTTAACCCACTCTGGGTTATTCAATCTACGTTTATTGGTCGAACAATTACTTATAAGCTTTATGATTGGCTAGTAGAGACTTATGACGTCATTAATCGCTCTCGGAGCGATTAACCCAGGGCCAGTCAAACACGTTTTAGTCATACAGGCTACGTTCCGAAATTCACTGCCAGTACTAAAAATCTATAATTTATGTTACGTATACTATAGAATTTCAGCACTAACAGTGAATTTCGGAACGCAGTTACAGTCATCGCCTTGCGATTCTTGCAGTTTGGTTAGAGTGCCCTGGTTTATAAACACAGAGAGGTGAGTACATCTAAATTAATATTCAAAGCATGGATGCTAACGATATTAAGCCAGCTGTTAGTAAAGGAAAGGTTAAGAAACATCATTCAACATCACGGTTAGATAAAAATGCTTTTAAAAAAATGTTAATCCCTTACTTTACACTAAATAAAAATTTATATATTCAGCGCAATGTGCCTATTACATCGACTACGCACAATGAAAAAGTAAGTTTAATATATCCACACACACATACGTCTAATATACATGAAAATAAAGTAATTTTACTTGAACATTCACAATCAACTACACATACAGACAAAACAAATTCAGTTGAACACCCAGAGTCAAATAAACATGCAAAAAAAATAATTTTACTTGGACCTACACAATTGACTACAGAAAAAGCAAATTCACTTAAACATCCACAGTCAAATACACATGAAAGAAAAGTAATTTTACTTGGACCTTTACAATCCACTCCACATAAGGAGGAAGCAATTTTGGCTGAACAATCACAGCCAACTACATACACAGTAAAAGCAAATTTAGTTGAACATCCACAGTCAAATACACATGAAAGAAAAACGACTTTACTTGGATATTCACAATCGACTACACATAAGGAGGAAGCAACTTTGGTTGAACAATCACAGCCAACTGCACACACAGGAAAAGCAAATTCAGTTGAACATTCACAGTCAAATACACATGAAAGAAAAATAATTTTACTTGGACCTTTACAATCCACTCCACATAAGGAGGAAGCAACTTTGATTGAACAATCACAGCCAACTCCACACATAGTAAAAGCAAATTCAATTGAACATCCACAATCAAATACACATGAAAGAAAAATAATTTTACTTGGACCTTTACAATCTGCTCCATATAAGGAGGAAGCAACTTTGGTTGAACAATCACAGTCAACTACACACACAGTAAAAGCGAATTCAGTCGAACATCCACAGTCAAATACACATGAAAGAAAAATGATTTTACTTGAACATTCACAATCGCCTACACATAAGAAGGAAGCAACTTTGGTTGAACAATCACAGTCAACTAAGCAGACAGAAAAAGCAAATTTAGTTGAACATCCAGAGTTAAATACACATGAAAAAAAAATACTCTTACTTGAACATTTACAGTCAACTGTAGATAAAGAAATAACAAATTCAGTTCTCTCTCACAGTGAACATCCACAGTCAAGTACACATGGAAAACAAATAATTTTACTTAAACATCCACAGTTAACTACACATACAGAAAAAGCAAATTCAATTGAACATGCAGAGTCAAATACACATGAAAGACAAATAATTTTGCTTGGACCTTTACAATCAAATCCACATAAGGAGGAAGCAACTTTGGTTAAACAATCACAGTCAACTACATATACAGAAACAACAAATTCAGTTGAACATCCAGAGTCAAATAAACATGAAAGAAAGCTAATTTTACTTAAAAAGTTATTGTCAGTTACACCTAAGGAAGGAACAACTTTGGTTGAACAATCACAGTCAACTACACATATAGAAAAAGCAAATTCTGTTGAACATCCAGAATCAAATATACATAAAAGAAAAATAATTTTACTTGGACCTTTACAGTCAAATCCAGATAAGGAAAAAGCAACTTTGGTTGAACAACCACACTTAACTCTACATACAGAAAAAGCAATTCATCCAAAGTCAAATACACATGAAAGGAAAATAATTTTATTTGGACATTTACCATCGACTATAGTTAAGGAGAAAACAACTTTAGTTGAACAATCACAGTCAACTACACATACAGAAAAAGCAAATTCAGTTAAATATCCAAAGTCGGATATACGTAAAAAAAAAGCGATTTTACTTGAGCATTTACCGTCGACTTCAGTTGGAAAGAAAACAAATTTGGTTGCACAATCACAGTCAACTACATATACAGAAACAGTAAATTCTGTTAAACATCCAAAATCAAATACACATGAAACAAAAATGACTTCACAATCGACTTTAATTAAGGAGGAAGTAATTTTGGTTGATGAATCACTGCCAACTACACGACGAGTAGATTTAATTGAACATTCACAGTTGGTTGCATCTACAGAAAAAAACAATTCTCGAAACTTGGCAAAAGAAAATATAAACTTCTTTTCACATGAAAACAAAGTTAAACAAGCTGAGATAAAAATATCTGCATTTTTGGTTCAACATAATATACCGTTTCATAGCTTGAAGCGTTTGATACCGATAATAAAAGAAATTGGCCGAGATCCGAATGTTTTAGCACATCTCTCACTCGAGCAAAATATATGTACAAGTAATAAACAGGTGATCGAGGAGGGCGAAGTTGACGAAATGATTAAAAAATTGCGAATCTGTAAATTCTCAATGTTAATAGACGAGGCTACTGATAATTCTAAGCAAGTCATGTGCGTTTTAGTACAGTATATTTCACCACAAGATAAAAAAATTGTGAGGCAAATGTTAAAATTGATAAGTATAGAGCTAGCAGATCCTGCAAACACATTTTACAGAGAGTTGAAAAATTTTTTTGAAAGAAAGAAAATTCCTTTGCAAAATATAGTTGCAGTGGTAAGTGATCATGCATCGATGACGACTGGATGTAGTTCCCTTATATCGCATTTGAAATTGGAAATACCGAAACTTCTCACGCTAAATTGTATTGGCTGTTCAACCACGATTATAGTCAATAATGCATACGCGCATATACCACAGGCGTGCGAACATTTTATTAAAGAAATTGTGTCTTATATTTCAGATAATATAGAGCAATCTACGTGTTTAAGTGAATTTAATGATGTTTTCAATACGGAGACGAAAATGATGTTAGAATCGTCAGACACGAAATGGTTAGTCTTACACAAATGTATTATCAAGTTAATTGACAATTGGGATATTTTAAAAAAATACTTTATTTCTGCAGCAGCAGAAAGTAAATCTGAATCCACAGTGACTGTTTCAAAACTATTCAATGATGATTCAATAAATAAAACAATAAAAGCGTATCTGCTATTTCTAAAATATTCATTACATTTTTTCAACAATTTAAATGACTTTTATCAATCCCACCGATTTTTGAGTCATATTCTACTTGAAAGTAGTCAACAATTGATTTGCGAAGTAGCTTCAAATTTTATGGTGTCAAAAGCTTTAGAGGATATTGTAAATATAAATTTAAGTAATCACAAGAATATACTAAATGTAAATAATATATATGTGGGGCCAGAATGTAATTCATTCTTAAGGACATTATCTCCAAAACGTGCGCGAGAGATTAGAATACAATGTCGCGATTTTTATGCAGCTGCAGTTTGCAAAATGTTGGAATGTTTACCGTACAAAGATACAATGTTCGAGCAATTAATGTTTCTACAACCTAAAATTGCACTTTATTATGAAGGTAGAAAAAAAATTAGAGATTTAACGTATATTGCAATGTGTATAGGGCATCCCGATATTACAAAATTGTCATATGAATGGAGAATTCTGCCAACAGTATATAACGACACAGAAAAAGAAGAATTAGCGGCTCTAGAAGTAGATGAAATGTGGAAACGAATATTAGAGTATGAAGACTTCAATGGGGATAAAACGTTTCCAAATCTCGAATTATTAGTCGAATCAGTATTTACTTTTCCACACTCGAATTCCGAAATCAAACATATTATTTCAACGGTCACAAGTATAAAATGTGAAGAAGATGATATACAAGATAGTACAAGATATGATGAGGTACAAGATAGTACAATACATGATGAGGTACAAGACAGTACAAGACATGATGAAGTACAAGACAATACAAGATATGAGGTACAAGACAGTATAAAATATGATGAGATACAGGACAGTACAAGACATGATAAAATACAAGACAATACAAGACATGATGTGATACAATACGTTTTTATTAAAGAAGATCCCTCTGAGTAAAGAAATATTTTCTTTTATACTAAGGAAAACAATCTTTAAGAAATAAAAGATATTTATTTCGATGGATACTAATATCATGTGTTTACTTCCCTGACAGCACCGGACGTGGCGAGCACGTCGCTACGACGTAATAACGTAAACGTAATAACATGCTTGTAACTTTCTTGCTGTTTTTGCCGCGAAATCACGTCACCTTCAAACGACTGTGCACGTCTGCACGTCTATGCAGACAGAGTTATATTAACATAACAATTTTCAAATAACAAGATATATATATATATATCTTGTTATTTATATATATATATATATATATATATATATATATATATACACACACACACACACACACACACACACACACACACACACACACACACACACACACACACACACACAATAACTTTCACTTGAAAAACGAAGAGTTTAAGAAGATATATATATCTTCTTAAACTCTTCGTTTTTCAAGTGAAAGTTATTGTTTATGCTATCTAAGTAAAAGAATTTCGATTCAAGGAGACATGTTATTAATATCCACTAAATTAATATTTTTTATTTTTTAGATATTTTTTTGCTATGCTATATAATATATTTCACATAGTCTATACTACATGAAATGGCCTTATTTGAAAAATTTTATATTTTAAAGATTATTTTTTAGCGCCTCTTTTACTGTTTCTGTGGTCAAATCACTTTTATTGTTATAAAACCTTGGTATATGAAGAATATAAGCAACAAGATTTTAGTAATATCCAAATCCGTTAGTCAGTCACAGTCAAGAGTAGCAATAAATGATCTCATTTTCAAATTAGTTATTTTCTTATTTACGATTGACTGATTTTTTATTGCTTACGTTTTTCTATATGCCATCCGTTTTATATGATCCATTTACGATCAACATTATTGTATTGCAATTATTGGGCGCGTTCAGCGGAAAAAGCGCGTTCAGCGGAAAAAGCGCTCAGTGAGCAATCAGCGATTATTGGTTCTTACTGTTAGATCCCTAAATCTAAATCAATTACATTGACGAATTACTCAACTGTTGTGCAACTGTTGAGTTCGCTGAACGCACCCATTATCGACAGTTGATAACGCACTTTGCATTCAAGAGATAAATGAGCCGCGAAGTTAGAGATGGCGCATTAATCTTCATCCTTCGATATCTTTCTTTTTATATTTTTTTTTACGTACAATTAAAAGATACCTTTTCAAACAGAAAACGACTTTTTGTTAACGACGATATATTTCATTGTACTCGATATTTCGTGACGTTTGCAAAGTGTCTAATAGACTTTGCAGAATTTTTCCGCCTCCTGTTTATAAAGCGGCACACTGATTGGCTATCGCGTAGTCTTTTGTCACGCGACAGGCATTGCCACGTTTTATGTGCAAGAGCTATAAAATAATTATCTGAGGGAGAGCTACTCCAGGAAATCGCGTTGACTTTTACACTCAATTTTGATTAATGAACAATTAACCACCAGAATTGATTATATATGAGAAAGAAATTTTATTATTAACCCTTAAGCACTGACAGGAGTCTGATAAACTCCTGATGAAATAAAAAAACCTATTGCTGTTTCACTCCTGTTTAAGCGTGTACACATCGCGTCCATCTTTGGCCCGTAAAATACGAAGTGGCGACAAGGAAAGACATTTCGCGCACTTTCTCAAGTAATTATTAAACTTCGAAATATTCTTGTAGATCTGTGATGTCAGTGCTTCTTGTGATTCTTGATGTCAGTGCTTAAGAGTCAAAAGACAAGGAAGAAAATGTCCTTTTTTTTATAAACAGTACCCAAATTACCATTTTTCTCAGACAAGTGTTACCCGATCTACTTTACTAATACATATAGAGAACTGTTACTCTTTCGATTATCAATATATTACACGACTTACAATTAGCAATTCTATCAGTCAATTGGTTTTTAAATATCAGTTGGTTTGATAAAAAATTTGAGTCAAAATTGCACTTCGAGGTGACGTGCTCGCGTATACCGATAAGGCGAAATTACAGACGAAAATGTGCCGCAGTCTCTATTGGCCTTCTTCTATTGGTTATCTTTTTCGCCGGGGCCCCCCTCCCCACCCGACCACCCACATAGATCCGATCCTGAACTCGAGAGAACATCAACAATCTCTCCCCTCTCCGACCCTGCCACCCCCTAGCGGAGCCAGAAGCACCTGTTGCTCGTCTACCTGTTTTACTCGCGCGGCGGCTCTGCTCGTCAGTAACAGTCAGAACGTCGTGCGGGTGGTGTTACGGCGAGCGGAGAGCGCACAGCAGCAGGCTGTTTTCCGAGTCGTCGTGAAAACCCGTGGCGAGCGAGCGTGCGTACGGATTCGTACGTGATTTCTGTGCGTTCCGACCGGTGGAGGAGCGCGTCGCCGGGCGAAGCGAACGAGAGCACACGAGGAGAATCTCGTCATCGCGAAGCTCACATTCGTGCCCGTCGACGTCGTCGGCTCATCACCATTCCGTTTCTCGTGGCGAATAACGCGAGAAACGCCGATCGGCGTCGTACGCGTGGATTCTCGTTGCGCGCGACGCACTTGACGCGAAGCGCGCGCGCGTGCGCCAGTGCCGCGCCGTTCGTTTGAAGGCGACGTGATTTCGCGGCAAAAACAGCAACAACCGCGGCAGCAATCGACGGCGGCGAGTGTTTCTTGTTGAGTTCGCGTCGATCTGCTGAGATCGCCCGTCGACGTCGTCGACTGCTGGATATCAAAACGAGGAAGAAACGGCTAGAGGCGTGAAGAGGGACGCGCGAGGCAAACGCACGGTATACACGGTGAACCGGCGAGCGTGTCGTCACATTGCGTTTCATCTGGCTAAAGTTTCGTTCAGGCGCAAAACTATGCGGCCGAATTGACGACACGGCGAAGAAGAGAAAAGGAGGAGAAGAAAGAGAGAGAGAGAGAGAGAGAGAGAGAGAGAGAGAGAGAGAGAAAGAGACCGAGTGTGTGAGTGAGTGAGTGTGTACGCGCGCGTGTGCATGTATATGAAAGAAGGAGAGCGAGAGAGCGAGAGAGAGAGAAAGGCGAAAGAGAGAGGTAGAGCGAAAGCGAGTCGCAGAGGCAAGTCGCGGCAAGAACGCCGACGACCGGTCGAAGCAGCGCGAGAATATGCGAGAGAGGCGAGCCTAAGCGCGAACCATGGAGGACGCAGCAGCAACGGCAACAACAGCAGCGCAGGACGCCTGCTTCGGAGCGGGCAGCGTGGCCGGGGCCGTGATCGGGACCTTTCTGACGACGCTCGTTCTGCTCGCGGTCGCGGCGCTTCTCTACAGGCAGTGGCGCAGGCACAAGGGTGAGTCTTGTTTAACCTCTTGTTGTATCGCGAAAAGGTCTGCTCGGGTCGAGTGGAAAGAATCGAGTCGAAAGACCTCAGCGTTGCGCATGGCGAGCTGGCCATGTGCCCCGATTCTCTGAAGGGATCTTTTGGGCGAGATTTTCTCACGTCTTTACACACAAACAAATGAAAGAAAATGTCTCGAAAGAAAATGTTGCTCGGGGTATAAGGGTGGTTAGAATCGACAGGCGGAAGTACGCTCGTTCTTCGTCTCTTTCGACTCGAAAGAATTGCGAAATCGCGAGCTAATTTCGTTACTCCGTCGAGAAATAAAAATGAGAGAGAATACGCTTTCTGCGACGCGATGAGTGTCATTTCGAACGTTAATTGATATTGACTTTAGACGTCTCCGTTGATTTTTACACATTATAAAGTGAAAAGAAACGAGTCGAGTTAAACGAATTCAATTTTACGATTGTATATGGCGAACTAACTGCACAATTTTTACATTCATTTAACTTCTCGCTTGTGTGAAAAGAAAAAGGCATTTTAAACGTCTATATCGTACATATAAGTTTTCAGTTTCGTTTTACAGTTGAGCAGATTTTAATTTTTTTCACAGTTGACTAAAGACTCGTCGAACTCGTTCTTATTCAGTCTAACTTGATTACAACGTTTGTGCAACGAAAATTTCGCAAATCCCGAATCGATTGTTTTCATCTCATTTTTTTCAGTGTGCGTATTTCTTGTTGATGTGTGTTTAACAAATACTCTTATTAAATCGCGAACGTCTATGCGAATAAAACGAAATATTTACGCGGAATAACATCGCGGTAAAGCTACACTGTTCGACTTCAGCTGTAAGATTCGTTTAAGACCTGAACTTGTGCCTATACGTAAAATCCGGCACCTGTCGTTACGTTCTGGGAAAGGAATTGAAAGTGATTTTATAAGCCCTGACACTTTCCACGCGAATTAGCGGCGCAACGAGTCGTGCCATGCGAGTTTCCGCGCAAATTTGCACTTTCATCGATTAATTTGAACGATCGTTTCAGTCGCTTATTTCTCATCCTCTTAATCAGATTCAGAGATTTTCTTCCCGGGAAAAATCATCATGATGGAAAATGTCGTGAAAAATAATAAAATAAGAGACTCGCCCCTGATCTTTCTTTGCTGAAAAATTGAAAACATCTCGAAGATGTCATTACGTCGCGGAGCCGCAGTTTTACCGTGCGGGGAATCTTAAGTCGAGAAAACGTCGGACATGAATAACGCGGTCGCAACGAATTCCTTGCCGTAATTCGCGAATAGCGGAAATAAAAAAAGAAAAATTTCTCTCCTGTCGCAAGTAACAGAGACCATACAAGAGAAGGAAAGGATCGCGGTGTCTCGTTAGTGTCGCGTTCTTGCAGCGGTCAGTGACAATCGTACGCGTTTTTGCCGAGATTTTTGCATAGCCGCGGCCACGCACGTACGATTCGGTCGGTGAAAGTAATTCAACACGTCGACTGGCATAGCAAACACCGGTATCTGCACCGCGATATTTGATTCTGATGAAATACCGATGTTACACACGCGCCGCGCATTATATTAATTCCACGTGTCTTCACGTGTTTTCGTTCGCGATCGTCACGTTTCGTTCTCCCTGATCGCAAGCGAGCTCGCGATAACGTCACCTGCAAAGTGCTCTGCACAGTCGCAAATTGAGAAGTGAAAAACCTCCAAACGAAAAGAAAAAAACTGTTCTTTCTTATCTACAAAATAACTCGTGTATATTTACTATAAATATAGTCCTTTTAACCACAGATTCTCGCTCGTGTAGCACCTTCTCGTGAGACGAGAATTAAATTCTTCCAAAAAAATTCCAGGATATCTCTTTGTTCACACAAACAAACAGTTCATATACATTCTTATGCGGTAGAGAGAAAAGCAAAAGTAGAATATATCGATAGTACTTCCTAAATTTCTTGGAGCAAAATCTCATTTGAGAAGTAGAGTGACCACCGAATCAATTGAATTCGAATGATTTTTCACTCATATAGAGTGAATTCTCTACTCTGAATCGTCGAGTGAATATCTTCATTCCGGCTTGAGAGATGTGATGCTATCATCTCTATCGTCACAGAAACATATTCACTCTAATTGAGACATGCACTCATATGAAGTCACTTCAAGCTTATATATAAGGACTGATCTCTTTCAATAATTATTTAAACTTAGATCTAACTTTGCTTAGTCACATCAAATACACATTGTTAAAACAGAGTTTGTAAACTTAGATCTCAGTTGACTCAGAATTATTAAAGGATTGTTCCTCAGTGAAATATTCACTGACTTAGGATTTCTAAGATACCTTTTTTTTAATATATCTGCCATTAATCAATAATATATACCATAATAGAACCATAATTAGGAGCTTTCCTCCGTTCCGTTGTGGTTTTGGATATTTTCTCGCCTACTTCTGATTGAATTCTGGCGCTTCCGGCGTTTTTGAGAGCCGCGCGTTCGCAGACCGAGGTTTCCCCGACGACGGTTTATTCTCCCCGAGACTAAACTCCCGTGGCTGAGGGGGACCTCGCAAAGGCGGCGGGAAATAAAGTGGCTTGCTCGCGGCGGAAGTACGCGCCGTTGTAATCGCGCCCGTTGTAACAGCCGGAGAGTCGTGTGTGAGACGTCGGTTTCCCGGCGAATTCCTTCGCACGAAAGGGTAACGCGGGTCGCGCGAGTGTTCGCGAATCGCGACGAGATTTACGTATTTACCTCGGGAGAAACGCGGAAGCGACGCGACCACCGCGTCTCGTGCCGTCCTACCTGTTTTCGTTCATCCTCGTCAGTGACGCTCGATATATTCGTTACCGTCGAATGAGCAAACGGGCGATGGAATGTCGGTTGCATACCGCTCTGCTCTGAACCAGACAAGCACTTGAAATAGTCGCATAGTGGTCGTCGATACGTTTCACGGAGGAAAATCGATTTTTTTAATATCTTATTAATATCTATACAGTCTTAAAAATATGTGAGAAAAGAATTTCATTGCGAAATTTGTAAAGTTGTTGAAGTTCACAGCGGATAATGTAACCACGTGTACGGTAAGCGGGTGGACGGGAGTCGGACTTGTGCTAGAAAAATGACGTGGCTTTGCAAACTGTAGTGTAGGAGATAACGCACTCAACTAAAAGCCATGTACGAGTGCGACGTAGAGTACTATTTTTTACAAGATTAAAAGACAGCGTCTTTTGTAAGATTAAAAATAGTTGAAATTACTATTTATGTGATTGCAACAACATTCAACGATAGTGCTAAGATTTATTTAAGAATATTTAATATAATAAATATATCTTCTGCAGAGAAACATACGATTTGCGTGAGCGGAGGAACAATAGCCGCTTAATGCATGCTCGAACTAAGGCTCTCAAGAAAACCAGGCGAAAAGAGGCGCCAGAATTCAATGTAGGCGAGAGAAAATATCCAAAAAAACAATGGGAGACGAAGGAATGTTCTAATTATAGCTCTGGTATATATTACTGATTAATATATTAAAGAAATATATTAAAGAAAATTATCTTCGAAAATTTTTGTCGTAAAACTTTGAACGCGTTTTCCTTGAAACAATGCAAAACATTGAGCATTATTTCGTCATGGTTTACACGTTAACTTAGCCATTTTTTTTTTGCTTGGGCACTCAATTGCATTTTCTATATTATTTTATATCGTATTTTATGTCGAGATCTAAAGTCTCGGGGCAAAATCAGGTTGGGAAACGCTGATGAGGATAATTTCAGAAAATAATACGTCATTCAATCAACGATTCCATCGATATATGATGGATTTATCCACTCGAGTAGTGAAATGCGCGCTCTATTATCGGATAAGAGTCGGCGGTGCGTTCTAGTGAGACTTCTAATCCTCTCGTGTCGCGACTTATCATTCAAATGAGTATTAGTGGTCTTTTAAAGCGTACGCTCGCAGCGCGCTGTTAGAAATCACGCGCTCCTTTGCGTCAAGTCGTCTGTTCATATTTCACAATTTTTAACTTTACTCTTAATTCACGTTTACCCTTAATATACGCCAACATGCCTCACGTGCATACGCATCGAAAGCGGCGTTAAGTATGCGATCTTTGACTTCGCGTACACGCATACTCATTATCTCGTCCGTTGGAGGACCAATTTGTTGTGAGCACGCGGTAGTTAACAAAGAAAGAGACAACTCCATTTCGTAATAGGAAACTTCCACACACGCTTTGCGTGCATTCACGAAACTTCGGATCTCTTTATATTATATCATCCTGTGCATTCATTAAGAAAAAAAATAAGGATATATTATAATATATACGTTGAGAGAAAGAAAGTACTTTACAAATAAGAAATATTTATTCAGCGGATATTAATAATACCTACTTAAACCTAAATTCTTTTATTTAACCTTAGAACCCTAAACATATTTGACATGGGTATATTCATACATCAGAATCCTATGAGAATCAGAAAGGCAAACATGGATAAAATTTACTCAGACTAATTTCCCAAACGTTACCAATTCTTTAAAAAATATGTTTCGTTTTTACACTATAATTTTTTTCAACTTTATTGAATCGTAAAAATATTAACAAATTCACATCCCTCGATATTTTCCATACCAATAAAAAAAAAAAGCTATATTTTAATCATTCTTATGGAAATTATGAGTAGATGAAAACGTGCTGAATGAAATTTACACATATTTAAAATTCACGTAACTTTTTAATGTTTAGATTTCTAGTGTTATAAATAAAATAAAAAATTACTTTTGTGAAAAGTTTCAAGAGAAGTTTAAAAAAAATATATATATTTTCTTATTTGAAAAATATTTCGTATTAATATAAGTAAAGGTGTTATTATAATATCCAACGAATAAATATTTGTTATTTCCTGAATACTTTTTCTCTCAGTGCAATGGATGAAATCTGAAGCCTTTTTTTGTCGATGAGTTTACGTCACTTCTACCCGGCGCAATTGTTCATCCGCGAGACTGATTTG